GAACAGGGAGATGATGGGGAAGAAGGCACAACAGGGATTTCGGGAAAACGAGGGAACCCCGGCATACCTGGTCTCCCCGGAGCACAGGGGCCACTAGGATTTAAGGTCAGTTTCCACCTCGCTGTGGTACTGGGTTTTTTGTTTGTTAAAACAAGTGTGAACTTGGGAAGGTGGCAAGGAAGCTCACACAGCCTGTCCTGGCCCACACTGCTTTTAGGAAGCTCAGGCTGCTAGACTCCTAGCAAGCATGACCAGGCACCTCCTTTGGAAGGTCTTGGATCCTTGGAAGTCTGTACTGTTAGTGTCTTAGAAGGCACTACTGGGGAAGAAGCTCACACTGCCAGGTTTTCAACTAGCACCAACAGGGCTTGAACTGCTGGAACTGGTATGGTTTGGGGCACCGTTATGAGCCAGAGGAAGCAGTGAAAGGCTTGTTTAGTGACCCCTGGATTTCTCACTGGTTCTTGCCCTGTCCCATGTGGATCATAGGACACAAAGCAGACCCAGTAAAGATTTAGCCATTTGTAAAAAGGGACTGTAAATAGAGAGATTCCAGCTGGGGTTGGAGAGGCCAGAAGAATTTGAATCAAATTATACTCATTTAACACATTACCATTAAGTTGTCACTTACTGCCCCCCAGCTGCCTTGGGTAGAAATAACAGGCTGTCGCCACTGATTGATACTTGAGCCTTTATCCCTGGAGCACTGCAAGGTCAGGGGGAGGGGGAAGGAGTTGAGATGCTGGGTCTTGGACGCCCCTTTGTTGTCTTTGACTTGGGAAGTCGGTGCCAGGGCAAATGTTAGCTTTGTAACTTTTGGATTAAAGTTACTGAACTGAAACCTTGGAATTCCTTTAGCATTTCAGGTGGATTAATCATCTGTTGTCAGCCTTGTTCAGAGAAGAGACTGAGAAATTGTGTGGGGCAGGGCAAGTAGGCATGCAAGGGTGTAAATGAGGGGGAACATGAACCTTACCCCTTCAAATGCTACATTGTGACACACCTTGTACAGCTGTGCTTGTAACTGCAGGTCTTGGTGAACTACCTCTAGGAAAACGGGTGTCCATTACTGGCTTCATGCTATACATCCTGTAAGAACATCTATCATTGCACCCAGCCCTGTGTGATACATATAGATGAAGTCACATCTCCTACCCCAGTGGCCATTATTTTTCCACCTTGTCATATATACCCTAACACTGGCCATTTCTGTTGCAAGTTTTTATATTTAATCCCCTGGAATGATTTTAATTCTGTGTTCTTTGTAGGGTGAAAGAGGATTGCCTGGGCAGACTGGCCCAACAGGGAAACGGGGTACACAAGGAGGGATGGGGCTCCCAGGAGGCCCAGGAGAGCCAGGACCCAAAGGACAGCCGGTTAGTTGTGTTCATTTAAATGATCGTGTCTCACTGTAGTTCTCCTAGCTACAAGAGGTGGCTCAGAGTCCCAGCAGTGCATAGGGGGTAGAGTCCTGGGATGCTCTACTGCATGCATTTTTGTAGCACACGTACACAATCTCAGCACACGCTTCCCAAGGCTGGGCGGTTGTGGAACTCTGTGCACATCATTTCATGTTCCACTTTTAAATAGTGAAGTTTGTGCGAGTTTGGAGTTCATAAACGTGAGACAGTGGAATGGCATCATGTACTGAGCAGCTGCACTGAACAAGTGCAATTACGTCAGTACAGACCTGCTTCTTCAGTATTGGCGCTCTTTAATGTTGGACTGGCCACTGAGGTGAGACCACCAAGCTCATTCCACCCAATCACACTTTCATTTGCACCCACTCAAATAAATCCTTGTCAATCACAATTTGAATGTTACACACACCCTGCAGCCATTACTTTATATTACACTCCTTGGTGTCTATCCTACTACACAGCATCCCTACCTCTAGAAATTAGCGATGAGTAAGCTGACCCAGGATAGGAAAGGAATGTTGCAGCCTGCATTTGGTAGAGCAAGAGGTTTAGGAGCAGTACTTAGCAATAAGGCCATCTCCTGGTATGGTATCAATGGCAGTGTAGTTGTAAGTCCAGAGCCAAGAGCATTGTCTACAAAGCAGCTGGGCGGTGTAATTCCCCGTGCAGATAGACACACATGCACTAGCTCTGTTTGAGCTAGTACCTCAAAGTCGCATCGCCCCTGGTGGCAGTTGAGGCTGGCCACCCAAGTACATACCTATGGGGCTGAGTGGGATTGTACTTGAGCAACGGAAGCCACTGCCCATTCCACTGCAGCTACACTGCTTTGTAAGGCATTAGTTTGACCACAGCTAGTCCATGTATAGCACTGGTACTTACGCATCCCAGCTGCTGTGCTGACACGCCCCAAGGGAATCCAGTTTTATGGCTCTCAGGGACACCAACCACTGATCAGCCTCGGCAAAGGAAAGGAAATGTGCACACACCCCATTACTAAACCAGGCTGCTGCTGCTTATTGTTTTTATATATTGCACTTGTAAGATTGCCTTGCCTAGGGCTGTGTATCTGGCTATATCAGAGAGAAGGCTGATGCCATATTGGGAGTTTTAATAGCTTAGACTGTAAACTCCTTGGGGCAGAAATAATATCCCTTTTCTGCCTTCTACAGTGGAGAGCAAACTGTCAGCACTTAATAAATACTTTTGCATCCCTTACTATCCCTAATATTTAGAGAGCCCCTAAAAAGAAACCAATCTAAATCTCTTATTGTACACTCTGTCTGCTCAACATCTGTTTGCCTTTGCATCCAGTAGGATCTTCAACTGTTTGAAATATGTATGCATGCTGGCCGGTTCGTTCCCCTTCCTAGACTAAGCATCACAAACAATGAGATCATCAGTACATTTAAGCCATGGATAAATACCTAGCAATGTGTTAAGATTAGGTTTATTGCTGTCTATGCCAGTGTTGGACCCCATTCTCCTCTGGAATGGGTGAGTTCTCTTCCTTCTCTCCAAGGGCAGTGCCACTCTTTAAGAGAGTGAGAGAGACTAGAATGCTGCATGTGCCACCATCCAGAAGAAGCGTTTAAGTGGCCACGCAGGTCATAGGCTCCTCGCTTAAGAAGCAGAGTCCATTTGAGTCCCATTATGTTGTTTTTTGTGTGTATGAGTGGCAGATTCATGTACCCAATATTCATTTCTGGAGGTTGCTACGTAAATATTGATCCAGGCCTCTTGGATAAGATGTTCCTGTAACTTAGTACACGTCCCCTTTTCCTCTAGAACTCTTCTTGCTTTGCATTTATTTGTGCTGCCAGCCACTCCATGGAGAGAGATTCTCCTACTGTGGGAGCAGCAGCAGTGTGTTTCCCTTCCAGGATCCATAAATGGGTAGTTAAGGTTTTTAGTATCCTTGGAAAGCTTCTTGTACTCTACGGATTTCACATAGGTCCTGGCTTGCCAAGCAATTTATCACTACGATGGCAGGAAAAGCTTCCTACCAGCAAGTCTATTAGACTTTGGAATTACCTTGTAAGAGAACTGGTGGAATCCTCATCACCTAAATCATTTAGAACTGGGCTGAACAAGACACATTTCCATCTCTTTTATTACTAGGATTCTAGAGTCATTGTGCTTATATTTTTGTCCTAATCTTTTCCTAACCATCCTGAGTCACTTGGCATGTCGCTATTCAGTAAGTCTATAGCTACCAAAAAGCTTGTATCTCAAAATATAGAAATGAGGGTGTTCACATGCAGATTTGTTTGTTCCATTTTTATTAGTGGTTACATGTATTATGACAGTGTCCACTATGTGTTAATCCAAGTTTGGATCACACACCCTAACTGTTAAAAGGTGATGTTTTTCCCTTGAAAATATGAGCAATAATCCTTGGAGGCATATTTGAAATGGGCAAGAGTTGAAAAAATATATTTTTCATGGTTTTTAAAGTTCTAAGCACATACTTTGACAGACAAAACGCCTGCAGCTTGAAATGGGCCTTCAAGAGGAGTCAGCTTGGCTCAGTTTGTATTAAAAAGCAAAACAGGGTTTTCATTTGACAGTTATCAGTGTCTGAAGCTGTGCAAAGGTAGGGGCTGTAGAGACCTTTAAGGACTGCTCATGGAGCAGACACTCCTCTCCCCTGACCGTGGCCCAAACTCCCAAGCTGTGCCCTGTTACACCTCCTAGCAACTTGGGAGTGGGGAGGAGAGACTATGCAAATATCTTAATTCAACCAGATGGGAAGATCTCCAGTTCTCTCTCAGAACAGCTGATTTCCTTTCCAAGTCTTCATTCATAATTCCAGGCTTAGAGTGGATGTGTTTCTATTTCTCTAAGTGTCATGAACCTTTTAGTGATAAGCCATTTATGATCAAATGTATTGCTCTTGCATTTGTCTTTGCTTGGCTGTTATTTCCAGGGGGACTTTGGCGAGTCAGGATTTCCAGGGATTGCCGGCATGTTTGGGCCAAAGGTAAGACACTTCCTTGTATGTCATGGGCTCTATAGTGTCTGTATAAGGTAGACATTCTCTTCCTCACTTTACTGTGGCAGATGGATTACTGGGAACAGCCACATGCTTCTTGCAGTTCCAAGCTCTTGGGAGATCCAATGCAGACTGGCAGCAAATTTCTTTACAGGTGCCGCTCCAGAAACTACTGTACCCAAATGATGATTCCTAACTACTTGAGTTTACTTCTTTTTAGCTGTTTGAGCCACACTCAACTTCTAAAATCCCTAAAACACTGAAGTTACAGTCATCTTGGTGGAGCTCAGATTGCCCCCAGGATGGATGGTGAGGGGATTAATGTTCCATCCCTAATGTCCTTTTGACTTGTTGAATGTCTTTATTGCCCTTGCTCTGTCTCAAGAGATTCCCATCTTCATCTACAGTTATCCTATCAAAAGACCCTGCTGGGTGACACTGGTGTTGTGTGCCCTTATATAGGTTTTACACCCATTTTATCTGAACATCTCATATGACCTTAAATTTAAGTTACCAAAGGAAAAGGACCATTCTGCTTTCTAGAGAATGGGGGGGGGGGGGATGATTTGCAGAACATGGGAGTGGGCCCACAGGTTAAAAAAATCAGGACTTGCATACAACTGGTTGCATATCTGTCTTTATTCCAGAGCAGCAAGCAAAGAAACAAACTTTGTGTGTGCATCTGTTGAGTCTTTCAAGATTCATGTCTGATTTTTATCTACAGGGACCACCAGGGAACCTGGGGTTCAAAGGAATTCAGGGCCCACGGGGACCACCAGGTCTCATGGTGAGTTCTTTGAACTTTATTGTAGAACTTCCTTGTTCCCGTTGTCTGATTTTTCTCAGGACAGTCTGTGGGCCAAACCCTGAGCTGCACAAAAAGGGGGGCTAAAGTGGACTTTAACCCAGCACATTTGACATACACTCTAATCAGAAGCTGCAGTTCAGCTGGGTCATACAGGAACACATGTACAAGATACTATAGCAACCTTTGATTTCAACACCACATTCTAACTACCCCACACATACTGAGTACAATTCTACTCCCCCTTTGCTAGAAAACTGCAGTTAAGCAACTAATTCTTGTTGTCCCCTTAAGTCACTAAGATGAATTTCAATGTAAATAAATTAGCTGTGTACAGCATGCTATTTTACCCGGGAAGTAATTTTTTACAATGCTGCTAGTCTCCAGTTGAGATTCCCCAGCATGAGGACTCTCAACTGTCCAATAAACCGCTTCCCAAAGATATGGTCTCATTGTCCAGTCAGGTCTTATTTTACATACTCCTTGTAGTGAACTCATTAACAGTCCACGGAACTAGCAACCTGCAGTTCAAGGAGGACAGGAGTTCTGGGCTGTGAATGCCTTTCCCATGGATACAGTAAGTTAGTTCCCAGGATGGAGAGAGCAACTCCACTGTTGGGATTGATTTCTGAGGAAAAGGAAACCACGAAGACACTTTTTGAAAATGTATGAGATCCCAGAGATGCTCCGTAAACCCTTGGGCTCTCAACACAGCAGAAGTTTTAGTGTAGCAATTTGTCCTTTAAAATGTCTCTGATTCAGCTGTTAGGAATGAAAAGGCAACTCCAGCATCCTTAAAGGGGACAAGAAGGGGGAAATCACGATATCTTTGTACTGGGTATAGAGCCCTGTGATATTCCACAGGTCTAGTTTGGTAAGAAATGACTTCCATTCCCTAGACCCCAGTTCATAAATGTCTTTTTCTCGCTTTCTGTTTTAGGGAAAGGAAGGTATTATTGGTCCGCTTGGAATTCTGGGTCCTACAGGAAACTCTGTACGTGTGTCTATTGTCTCTGCCCTTACTTATTACAGCTAATAATGATTGAGGGTATTTAGACCAGTGTTTGCTGCTTCCTCGAAAGTCTCTGAATTTCACTTCCTAGCTATGTACAAGTACAGCCTAAACCTCATCTGAATTAACAGGGGCGAAAAAGTTTATTTTTATAGAATAAGCCAACAAAAGTGCAGCTGCAGTCACAGGAGTAGTGGGAATTCTTAGTTTATAAATTAGCAGCAGCCCTATTTAAGTATGGGTTTGGGGTGGGAAGGATTAGACTGTTAAGAGTGATATTTATAAGCTGTGGAGCCAGATTTGGAAAAGAACTCCTCAGCAAGTAGTGAAATTTTCAAGAGAGTTCGCACCAAATGTGCTGAGCTCCTCTGAAAATTTGGCCAAGTATCACAATGGGAAATACTAGTTTGAGCACTTCTGAAGATCTGGCCCAGGACTCCTATTCCCACCCTAACTCCTAAAATCCAAAAGGGGGCACTCAGTCAAAACTTCCTAAAAATAAAGAATAAAATATTTCTCTGCTTCCCTCCTCTTATTTTATGATGCCACTTTCAAAGTCAAATAAACACACACACAGGAACTGATGTTGATAAAGATGAAAAAAATCTATGGGAAAATACAAGGATTAGTCCATCAGTTTTAAAAGTGAGGCGGGATGAGCTGAATTAAATGTGCCAGGGAAGAAATATGTAACACCCTAATTGGCAGGTGTGGGACAGAACAAGTACACACCTTGCAACTCTCTGACACCAAACAGCATATATGCACCAGAAGTGCTGTAACAGTTACAAAGCCTTGGCTGTTCCCTTGACATGCATACCTTTAGTCAGACTTCAGCCTGGAAGTTTATAAACATTCCTTTTTGTAATCTGTGAAACTTTCAACAACACTAGCTACTTTTTCCCCAAAGAAGGGAGACAAGACAGACAACCAGCCATGTTTTGTTTAGAGATCTAGTTGGGCCACATGCAGAGAGTTTTTCACCAAAACATGTCAAACCCTCAACATGATGATTACTCTTATTAGGAGCCTGCCTGATTCTAATCATGTTCTATGTGGTTCTTTAAATAGGGTCCCAAAGGAGACAAAGGCAGCCGCGGTGAAACGGTAAGCACTCTTCCAGAATCCTTCAGGTACCTCAGCTGCATAGGAGACTGTTCTCAGATTGGGTAGACAGAGGATACCAGACAGGTGGAATAGGAGGGAGCAAAAAACTAAATCAGCCTTTCATCCTTCCAAGATGGATACAGTGAGCTTCATGCAGTTTTACTGTGTGCGCATTTTTCAGAAGAGTCTTTTATAAAAAGATGTCCCTTTCTGCACTGCATAGCCATTAAACATCCCAAGGCACTTTTCAAATAACTGGGGATAACTCAATATCCTTTGCCATGATTTCCCTTGGCAATATGCTGGGCCCAGGTTTCTTGCTGCCCTCCAATGTGGCTGCATTTTGATACAGCTTCTAAAACATACTGACAGGTTTCAGAGTAGCAGCCGTGTTAGTCTGTATTCGCAAAAAGAAAAGGAGTACGTGTGGCACCTTAGAGACTAACCAATTTGTTTGAGCATGAGCTTTCGTGAGCTACAGCTGCATCCGATGAAGTGAGCTGTAGCTCACAAAAGCTTATGCTCAAATAAATTGGTTAGTCTCTAAGGTGCCACAAGTACTCCTTTTCCTTTTTCTTAAAACATACTGGAAACCCTTGGGATGAAAGACCTTACGTTAGAGGCATGCAATCGTTTGACACACTTCTCCTGATTTTCTTCTGCAGGGTTTGCAAGGTCCAAGGGTGAGTATTTCAGAGAACTGGTTTCTGGCTGTCACCATCCTTGCTTGAATAAACGGATGTGCCACAAAGTTTAGGAGGGAGGGAGAGGAACTATGGACAGTAGGGAAAGTAAAAAAATGGGGGGGTGGCCTGGGACCAAAGAGGTGCAGGCACATGCCACTAAGGATGACAAAAGCATGAGAGCTACATGAGGAGACAATATAGAATAGTAAAAAGCTGCACTGTGGGAAGATATGGCCACCTCCTGTCTCCACAACGGGTTGAGCTGAGGGACAATAATATGTTGAAGAGCTGGAAGATTTTTGGGAGAGAAAAGATATGGGAGGGGGCTCACCTTTTTCTGGGATACAAGGATGAATAATTTCACTGCTGACATTTTACTCACTGATGCTTTTCTCTTTAGGGTCCACCAGGCCCACGAGGACTCCCTGGGCCTCCGGTACGTACATCAGGAAAGGGTTCAGAGGATGACAAGCCCCATCCAAAGAGACTACTCACTCATTTGGAAATTACACCGATTCCGCCTGTAAAATAAGGATAATAAATTACTTCACAGGGAGTTTGCATGTCTGAATGAACTAATGCTTGTAAAGTGCTTGGAGATCTAAAGGAAATAATATTTCCCCTCTGTAGCGAGGACCCCACAGGAAAGAGGGATAATCTCAAAAGGGGATCAGAAATTCTTTGACATTATTATCCATTGAACATAAAAATCAGTCATAGTTAACAGTTTTTTCTTTTGGTTTCTAGGGTCCAACAAGAATTCCAGCTTCATTTGTAAGTTGCTAGGTTTTATTCTATACGATAGATTTGTTATTGTTGATAGTGAGTGAAGTTGTGATATGCACATGTGAACATATGTAGAGCTCAGAAACTCACAAGTGTCCTGCTTTCCCAAGCTGATGTCCCCTAGCCTAGAACATCCCCCCTACATGGACTGAGCAGAAGATACAAGCAATATCCTGCTAGAATGGTATTTGGCACCTAAATATAGAGAAACATCTACTGTTCAGTTTGCTTGTGCAAAGGGCACTCATCTCCTATTACAAATAGGTCTCATAATCTCCTAAAATGCCGTTGTTATATTTTCCCCCACCAGCAGCAGGATGGCTTTGGTGCAGCTTTCCAGGCAATGATGGACTCAAACACCGCACTCAGATCTACAGAGGTACCAGCATGCTTTTCAACCTACCAAGCTTTGATACAGATGCAGAGTGCTGCACTGTGTAATCTTAAAGAGGAGAAACAGCCTTTCATGCCACCTTGCCTGCTCTTTTTATGTAAAGCAATTCCATCTTCCCAATTTCCTTCCATGATCCTATCCCTCTACCAGTATACAACACAAAGCCTGAATGCATCGTTCTTACTCACCTGACTTCAGTAGGAATTTTGCCTGTGTAAGGACTGCAGGATTAGACTTTGGTTTGTTAAGCTTGTGCAAATCTTAACATTTCCTTTCTCTCACCTCTTTTCAATGAGATGTCCAGTCTGTTCAGTCGCTTGATAATTTAAAGGGCTCTCAACCTGAGCTGCGTTCAAAATGTTTCTATTCAGGTAGAGGTGTGCTCTAGATTACAGATGCATTGCTTCTTTTCTAAAGAATCCCACTGTTGACACTAAGAACAGACGAATATGGTTAAGGCCCCCATCAGTTCCAGAACCTAGAATGCTTGCGTTCTGCTGTTGGAAAAAGGTGGGGAGGCATTATCCCCATTGTAAAGTATTGCAAAAATTTAGCTAATGCACGTTATTGCCAAGACTGGACTGGGCTGCCATCAGAGAATGCTTGTGCTCTCCGAATAGAATCCTGGGGGGTTTCTGCCTTCTTAATGTTTTGCTTCTCTCTTTTGGGGCACAGTGATGAATAGCTGGGACCATCTAGTGTCAGTCATGCTTCCTTCTTTATAGCATGCATGTGGGAAAGTTCCCAATTGAAAACAGCTAGCTATGACTGTTTGGACTGAATGGCATTGGTCACTTCCGTTACTGACTGTACCTTTTGCCTGGGGTGTTTTTCCCAAGAATACAAAGGGGTCAGTTGCCATTGTTACGCATTCTGATGACGTGTCTAGCCAATGCAGCATTTGTTTGTGGGGGCTTCTCAAACCGCAGCAGTTCTGTCAAGCTCAACAGTCAGTGCCTGACTGCCGTCTTCTCTATTCCACAACAGAGCTATCAACATTCAGACTTTCTGATGCTAAACCAGGAAGGAGAGATCTTTAAGACTCTACACTACCTCAGCAACCTCATCCAGAGCATCAAAAGACCCCTGGGAACAAAGGAGAACCCTGCACGCATCTGTCGAGACCTCATGAACTGTGAACAGAAGATGGGTGATGGTAAGCAGCACAACCATGTCCTGGGAATTCTCCCAGCCGCAAGAGGGATACACGTATAGGGCCAGTTAAAGCAGTTCAAACAAACAGGCCGACTTTCACGGGACTAGCGTAGACACATTATGCAGAGAAATTAAAAATCTCTTCATCTGCTGATGCCTTTCTGGATCTTATGCATAGGAAATGCTGACTGGTTCACTCACCTATTCTTCCTCATCCCAGATTGCTCCCTTTCTTCAGGTACTTACTGGATTGACCCAAATCTTGGCTGTTCTTCAGACACCATTCAAGTCACCTGTAACTTCACCAAAGGTGGACAGACATGTCTGAGCCCCATCACTGCCTCTAAGGTACACACAGTTCTACCACTGTCTCTCAGCGGGCTTCCCCTCCCACTAGAAAGCAAATGCTATGTTGTTAAAGTGAGATTTAGGGTAGTGCGTAACAACGTATATTGATTTGTGCCAAAGGGGGTAGAATTTACTACTGCTGTATCAGTTTCCTCACATTATTGGGTATGTATTAGTTCTTATATTGCTGTTTTAACAGTTTTGAAAAAAAAATTGCTTATTATTCTTCAATTACATTCTAACACTGTTCTTTGTCTATATTATGGCTGAAACCATGACAACACTGATTAGACTGCCCCACCTCCTCTCCAGCTAGTCTGTTGTCTCCATAGATCAGGGAGTGAATGCTAAGGTTCTACCAACACATGGATAATTTACCAGTATCATTAGAAGGAGTGGGTGAATATTCCAAACATGCTTCTAAAAATATTTTGTTGAATTTTTAAATTAAGTCCCTTCAGTCACGTTCATGTCTCTTTGTATTTGCTTTCCATAAATGGTTGTGAGAAACAGTTCAACTCACATGTACAAGCACTTTAGGGTGAAATCCTGTCTTTTTTTACTTCAGTGGGAGCAGGATTTCACCACAGAATTTTAAATTCCCCCATACATGTATTTAGAAAGAGGTGCTTGCAAATGCACACTCATCTAACTAGGGACCAGAAACTATATTGAGACTTATCAGAATTAATCACCACAGTTCTATTATCAAAGTACTTGAAGAGAACTATTCAATGATTTTGGGGGTAAATTTCTTTAATTTTGTGGAATGATCCAATACATTCTTATCCCCAAGAAGTGGGAGGAAATAGCAGTCTGCTTCCAGATTTTCCACAAATAGGAACAGGCTTATTCATTCACTTTTAATCAGGATGAATGAGTGGCACAGGGAGAGACAGAGAGAAGCTAGCATGAGACAAGAGCAGAGAAACTAGAAAAAGCCCCAACACTAGGTAAGACTGGAAAGCAGGAAGCTTTCTGAAGTTATGATGAAGACCCTGTGATAGTACCATAATGTACTTCCTATATTAAATTATTACAGCACTAGATTCTCCCTACATTTATTCCTTCTCCCCCAACATATTGCTGTCTACAGCAACAGGAGGGATGGTGGAAGCTTTTCCAACATAGAGCTATTGGCACAGGGGAATAAGCAGACTCTCTAGTTCCACTATTGCCTGGCTCATCACTGTCAGCAACAGTTACTTGCACAGCATAGGTGTATGCTCCAGATAAGCAGTTAAAGAATAAAATGCTCATTTACTCAATAACTCCACCCAAGACTGAAGGAGGTATGAGTTTCAAGGAACTATACCCAGTAGGGATGGGATTTTCAAAAACACACAGCCGTGGTGATGATTTCTTTGGGGTGTGATTTTTCAAAACTACTAGGCCTAACTATGCACCCATATTCATTTAGCCATCACCTACAAGAGATAATTCAGCCAAAACAAGCCACCTACATAGTATGAAACGTCAAACTAATCAGAAACAGAACAGTGATGCTTGCTGCATCAGCATCAATGGTGGATTCCATGCAAAGTCAGGAGTCTGCAAGGCATTAATAAGCTGTTCAGAACTCACTGTAGGCTTCAAGAAAACCTGACGTAAAATCGAGAGCCCACTTTGCACATGAAAAGAAAACACCACAATTGACATTAATTGGCCCCTCAACAGAGAAGTCAGTGAGACTGAATTTCCCTCCAATCCTTAGATGGGATGCTACTAGTTCAAAGGTGTATTGGCTGGGTAGTGTGGTGAAAGTTTGTCCTTCCACTGCCCCTGCAGCATGGCTCACTGGAGGACTTCGGTCTCCAGGATTGTTTACCCAGCCCTGAACTCACACAGTGTTGCAACTAAGCTGAAGATTCAATAGCAGTAGGACTGGAATTCTTCTTGGTCCCTTTAAACAAAGCCCATCCTGCTTCTTGCCTTGTAGGCTTCCTTACTGAGGGCCTAGGCTGGTTTGAAACTGCCCTGTCTACACTCTGGTTAGAAAAAAATTTTCAAACCCTTTGTTGTTTACAGCTATGCCAGACTAGTCTAATAGAACCGTGCAGGTATGACAGAGAGGCCTCCTCTCACCATGCTCTCACCATTGCGAAGCAATGTTTGAACCAGGGGCTCACATTACTTTGTAATACTAGATTGACAGGTTCCTAGGTATAAGAAAAGTCAGCAATCTCTGTGTCCCCTGCAAAGGAAAGCAAAATCAAATACAAGAAAACTCTCCAGGCTGGTTCAGCATCTAGCCAGGATCACATTGGGCATATAGATTGAATACAAAAAGGGCTCCAAATTAAAACTTTAATTCCAGAACCCTGTGACATTCACATCTGGAGTCAAGTGCCAGCACCCAGACCTACACAGTAACAAAAATCTTGTGTGTGGTACATTACAAGGACTGCCCTGTGATTTTGAACTGGTTCACCCCATAACAGCTGTCTAAATTGCCTATTTAGCAAAGTGAAAAAGTTGGGGACAGCAAGTATCATAGGCCAGGGGAGGCTAAGCTGCTGCAAACCCAGGCTGTGGCCCCGCCCATGCTCCTCTCTGAAGCCGGTGGGAGCTCAGTTCCACCTGGTGGCCTGGGGCTCGGGCTTGCCAGCAATTTGGTGATGGGGCCGGAGCTCGGGTGTCTGGGTGACCAGCAGCTCAGGGCTCCTCTGTCGGGCACAGGGGTTGCTCCTGATAGGCTAGCCTCCCCCAAGGGGGGGTTCACCTTCTGCCCATGGGGACAGCTGTAATGTACATTAATACACTAAATATCTTTGCTGCTGCTTGCACTAACTGCACCACTCTAAGACTACTGGGTGTATCTGACTCACGGTCTTCGGGATGGAGTGTCTTAATTTTCATATTATCTCTTTGTTGCGTTAACAGCTGGAATTCAACATTGGTAGAGTCCAGATGAACTTCCTTCACCTACTGAGCTCAGAGGTGGTTCAGCACATCACCATCCACTGTTTGAACATGTCAGTGTGGAGGGAAGAGTCAGCTCAGAAGCCTTCAGAAAAAGCGGTGCGTTTCAAGGCCTGGAATGGACAGATATTTGAAGCAGAAGGGCCGTTCAAGCCAGAGGTGGCAACAGATGATTGCAAGGTACAGAGCCCCTACAAAGTGGCCAACAAAGCAGCTAAAAAAAAAAACCAAACTGACCTAAGAGAAAGTGGGAGAACTGGAGATGCAGCATGCCCAGTCAAGGGGACTTCACGGGGACATAAGAAACCAGAAGACATTAAATTTAGCCAAAGTCTAAGTACCCTTAGAGCATGCTGCAAGATCCAGCTATTGTCAGTGCTTCCCCACCAAGACCAAAGACAAGGGAACAGTGCTGGAAGAGCATTAGCCTCTATGAACCCCACTCTGAGCAATTTGCATACAGATCTAGTTAATCTGGGCAGCGCTTACATTCTGCAGTAAGAGGTACTATAGAAATGCTTAAAATAGAGAACACATTTGAGTACCCTTTTTATTTAGAAGAGTTTTCTGCTTGGAGACAGTGTGATCTAGTGTATAGAGTTGAGAGATCTGTCTTCTATTCCCAACTCTTGCCCAGGGTTACACTGAGTCAGTGGCCATCTTTCAAATCCACACTTTGAAGGGTGACCTCTAATTTTAGGTGCCCAGCATAGAGGTTTCATTTTCAGTGATGCAGAGTACTCACTGCTTCTATTCACTAGATCACATTGCCTCCATTTCCCCAACCCACATTGTCTCACTTTGCCATAACTATGAACTGGTGATAACTTACCTGTCTCAGTGCTTTTCAGCCATATCTTGATGGAAATTATTCTTCCCCACAGGGATCTACTCACTCAGCTAATTGACCCCCATTTTCTCTCCCTCTTGGTTCAGATTCAGGATGGACACTGGCATAAGACTATCCTTATGTTTCGGACACAGGACCCTAATCAGCTGCCAATTGTCAACATCTACAACCTTCCACCATCCGAGCCAGAGAAACAGTATCACCTCGAGGTCGGACCCGTGTGCTTCCTTTGAACTGTGATCTCTACAGTGCTCCAAGGTTTTGGCCCCTTTTGGGGGGGCCTACGTGTTTAAGTAGGATCCCCTGTCCCTCTTCAGCACAGATGGCTGGGCCTTGTCATTTGGGTCAACTGTTGCTCTGGCCATAGAGCTCAAAGTCTTAAAGAACCTTGATCTCCCGAACTCAGTTGATTCTCCAGCATAGTCTTGAAAGAAATTTTAAAAAGCAGAACACTGGGGGGATCCTGGCATCAGCCAAGACATGAACAGTGAAGGGGGATCAGGAACTTGAAGGCCAGATAACACAAGCAATTCCACACACAGAGCTTTTTCCACAACCAAAGAAATAGAGAGAGATCTTAAGAAGAAACCTACAGTGCATATCTTTGTCCAACCCCGTTCCTGAGTTACCAAATGTTCTTTCCATAAAATTAGAGCCTCCCTTTAAGAGCTCATCTTCTGGACAGCTCACCGCT